CAGCACTCGCACCCCGAGATTGAGGTACTTTTTGCACCTAAATTAAATGTTAGTGACTTATTAGAGATGAGAAAGGCTTTTATAATTAGTTTAAGCCTTCGAAAACGCGTTCCTAACTATACCGGCATAAATTGTACTGCAAACACCGCCAAGTTAGTTCCCTCCCCCGCAGCGTGCAAAGGCCAGTCGCCCCCACGCCCCGAAGCCTCGGTAAACACCAACGGGGTGCACGCTAGCGCCGGGCGCAAAGTTCGAAAAAGCGGCCAGGGCATCCGCGCGCGGATCGTACGCGCCGCAACTCGTTTACGCTTAAAAAATTGGGTGTCAATGTCAATAGAACAATCTTGAAAATCTCTGGCAAATATTTGGGGTGAAGAGTTACTTTTTTAAACAAGTTAAAGAGATTTTTACTGTTTTCACGGCTACTTTAAACTTCTTTTCAGGTGTTCGAAGAGGGCAGCTGGAACTACATGAAGGGCCAGGTGCAGACGATCGACCGCACGTACGGCTTCGGCGTCGACACGCTGCTCCACCACATCACCGACGGCCACGTTGCACATCACATGTTCTTCACCCGCATCCCCCACTACCATCTCATGGAGGCCACCGAGGCCATCAAGGGCGTGCTCGACAAGTATCCGGTAGGTTATTGCCTTTTGCACTAGTTTTCGTTAAGTACTATGAGGACTTTAACGAAAATTAAGTTGGAATTTAAAGCACGAAATATCTTCCATAACCTCATTTCCAGGGCGCCTACAAACACGAGACGAACTACCACGTGTGGTTCAAATACCTGTGGTACAACGTGCGCTTCGAGTACCTCATCGGCAAGGGCACCGGCGTGCTGCGGTACAAGCAGAGCGGCGAGGACACGAAGAAGGCGATCTGAGGCACCTCGACGACGGCCATTCCATCCATTAATATTACGTGTACAAATGCGCCTCCTTACGCCTGGGAGGTACATTATATTGGGAATAAATCGTTTTTACCGTACGCGCCGAGGATTTAGTTACAAAATACTGATTTCAGTTTCGGTGGTGCTGGGCTGTTAGGGGGGGAGGGGGCAGTTTTTAGCGAGGGAAAATTAGCTTTTTAATTTTTTGGCGGTACCTAGTTGCTAATAATAATAACGTTAATATGCTCTATCGGCGAAAAATCAGGAATTAGTTATGATTTCGGCCGGCGCTACACGCCTTCCCCCCCCCCCGCTAACAGTCCAGTACCATTTCAGGTTCCTCCGATTGTGTGGATGGCATGTGGGTGAGGGGGGGGGGGTGTCGATTGGTGTGTCGTGTAGCAAAGGGGAAGAGAGACAACTGTAAGGGATAATCACTTGTCCACGCCCGGGCCACCCTAACGAGGGTCCCGTCGAGAGGATGCGGGGAGGGGCCCATCCCTGATTCATTCACACGCAACACCAGGGGGCTTCTCCTCTCTTGTTGAGCCCTTGAAACGGACAGACAGGGACAACGGCTTGATGACGTTGAACAGCTGCTACCCGGCTGCAGGGATCACTGGAATGATCAGTGTTTTTTGGGGGAAATGGTGGCTAGGAATTTCCTGAAGAACCTATGATAGCACGCTACGGTTCTGCTGGATCTGGTCGCATTTTTAGGGCAAGCTAGCAGCGACCCTTAGGGAAATAAAGGGAAGGAAAACCGCATATTCCTGAATTTATTCTAACGGCTTGGGTTTAATTTTAATCAACCGTTCCGCGGCGATACTTTTGTAGCATATTTTCTCTGCTAGCTCTCCAGCCCGGATTTTTGCAGCATGGCGTACAAGCAGAGGTTTTTTGGGAAAAGATGTTTGCGCGTTGAGATCCAAGACTAACAACACAATGCCGAAAAATGTGAAAAATACATTTTTATTTTCTGGTTTTCCCAGTCGAATTTTCGCAACGTGGCGTACTAGCAGAGATTTTTGGGAACAGGTTTTTGGAGCTTTTAGGTAGAAAACTGACGAGGCGGTCCAGAAAAATTCAAAATTTGAAAATGTTGGGCTTTTTTAGGTAAATTTTGCACCTTTTAGATGCTTTTTAGAAGCTTTCTAATCTCTAAAAACCGAGAAATTCCATAAAAAATTGTTTAGATTTAATTATTTATAAGAAAATACGGGATAGCTGGGGAACTGCCCTCCCCCCGCAAACAGAACAGTACCAACATTAGCGTGCAACCCCCCATTTCCCACCATTGGCACGCCGGGCAGACACACCCACACCCACCCGAGGGCCCCGGCATTCCGACCGGATGACGATCACAAAACGGACAACGACTGCGGAGGGAGAAGACGTCGAAAAACGGAGGAGAAGCCCCAAGAAAGAGGACGGACAGTACGCGAGAGGACACGGGACACGGACCCTTGACTACACGGGGGGGGGGACACTCTACAGCCCATCCAACAAGCGCATCCAATCCAATCCGCCGGCATACACTCGCCAACACACACCCCGCAAAAACGGATAGCTTACATGGCCAGTATGGCCAAGAAGATGGCGGAGGGATTTTAGCGGAGCTTTAGCGTTAGCGGGAGAGGCGAACCAATTTTTTCCTTTCTTAAATTTTGCCGACCGTATCGAATTAACGACATAGCGTTATAAAATCAGCTAAAAAATCCCCAACAGCTTCAATGGCCGAGGGGATGGAGGAGCTTTAGCGTTATCGGGGGAGGTAGAACCTAATTTTGCGTTTCTTAAATTTCCGGGGCCCGGAAGTGGGTGTTTTTTTTTCAGGTTAATTAGATTCTAGGCCCGGCCCCGGGGCTCGGCCGCCCGGAATTGCCATGTCTGCAAAAATAAAAAAATCTAGAATTTTTGACCCCTTTCCAGCACCCTATTTTCATGCCTCGCCACGCGGACGCACCGGCCGGCTACGTGTACGCGACGCGGGCCCGGACACGGAAAACGGACCCATCCCGCACCCTCTGAAATTGAGACGCTGCTGCTGGATTGGGTTGGAAGCGAGCCAAGCGGATCGTCGAGTACCCAAACCAACGCTACGGGACCATCCAAAAACGCACAATGGATGGGGGGAAGGGACCGTGATGACAAGATGAGCAAAGGAACTTCTGGCACACTTTGGCGGATTGGGAATTTAAATGAAAAAGGATAATTATTTAATTTTTAAGATTTAGTTTTAAAGATAGGCGTCAGCGTAGTTACTGGTGCGTGTGTAGTGGTCGCGCCTCCAAGGCGTTGCGGGCGCGTCGCGGCAGGAGACGTTCCAGTACAGGAAAACCCTGCTGAAGACATGGTTTTTAAGGGCGTTTTCAGGCAGCCATAAGCCCGATCGTCCGGGGGTCCCGGTACCAAAATACCGACTGCCAAAATCCCAACCGGCCAGAATACCGACAGCCATAATACCAACAGCCAAAATCCCGACGCGCGGAATACCAACCGCCAAAATTCGGGATTTACCTGTCGGTATTATTTTCGTCAAGATTTTGGCCTATCGGTATTCTGGCTGTCGGGATTATTGGTTGTCGACCTTTTGGCTTGTCGGCATTCCGAATTTCTCGAGTGTGGCTTGTCAGGATTCGAACTGGTGGGATTTTGGCTTCGAGATTTTGGGTTGTCGGCATTATGGCCGTCACCTGTCGGGATTATGGCCATCGGGATCTGGGCCTGTCGGTATCATGGCTTTCGGTATTTTCGCGTACCGTACTCATCTTTTGCGGGTGCGTTGCGGCGACGTCACCTTCCGAATAGCTCCGAATTACGAAATCTCGATGTCTGATCGTTCACCGCCGCCCTGATTCCGCTGGCTTACTAATGCCATTGGAATCAGCGGGGCCTCCAGTTTAGCGTGTCAATTAGCCGGGGGGGAAAGCAGCAGAGTGCGAGTCAATCCCTCTCTATCGGTTTGTATTTACCCCGGGGTCGAGGCAGTGTGGCTGTGTGAATAGGCTGCTGTATGACCGGTTCAGCTCCCGGGGGCAGATCATAGAGAGAAGAGAGAGAGAGAGAGAGAGAGAGAGAGAGATACCGAGACAGTGAGACAGACTACGGTATCCGGGGGTTAGAATAGGGTTGGTGCAAGGGGGGAGGGGAGGGGCTAAAAGGCTGGAGGGCCCAGCCCACCCCCACCTGGTGGTCGACTCGAAAAACGGGTCCAAGCCCCGTATAAAAGGGCCCACCACCCCAGTCCGGGCACCAACCCCGCCCCCCACCACACAGTCTCATCTACCATCACCCCCGGTAGATGAACAATCTCATTTTTCCCATTCTACACTTGTTTCACTGTCTTTTAAAGGGACGGTGACACGAGTTTTCTCTGGCGTTCATGATTACTTCTGTTATTGATCCTACTTTTGAACACGCTGAGCGTCAGAACCCTGAATTTCTGCTCCAATTATTACTTATTTCTGCCGCTCATTTCTCCTCCCAACGGGACGGCGACAGCAGCGTTCTGGCGTTAAGGATGCCAAGCGCAACAACCTTCTCCTCCTCGATTTCCGGTTCAGTTCAAAGCAATTCTGACACTCCTGACTTTCCGCCACTTTATTATTGACGGATCTCTCTTTCTCTCGCTCTCGCTCTCTCTCTTTCTCGCTCGCTCTCTCTCTCTTTCTCTCTCTCTCTATCTCTCGCTGACATCCATGTACTATCTCTAAACTCCCTCCTTCCAGATCCCAGCTCGTGACGATGGCTCGGGTATTCGTTGTCGCCTGCCTTCTTGGTGAGTTTCCGGAATTACGTTTGAGCTCCTCCTCTATCTATTACTACTCGGAAATACTGAATTCTTGCTCCCAGCTCCCAGTTCCCCGGGCTTTATACCCGGGATCAGCTGCGACGACTGGTAGAAGTTCATCATTTTTTCTTCGCTAGTCGTTTACTTCATTTCCTGAACGGCTCGAACTTGGGGCTACCCACTCAGAGCTAGATGATCGCCAGTATTACTACCCGTTTTGAGCTTCTGAATTACGAAATTGACTTCAAAGCTAAGCTAGGTCAACGTCTAATCCTATGCCTAAGCCTAAATCTTGTTTCAGCCGCCGTGGCCATGGCACAGGAAGACAGCAAGTCGGGCTCATCCGAGGAGCAATCCCCGAAATATTGGCGAGCCATTCTCGGCGATATCTGCCAGCTGCCCTCATTCCCCCGTGCCACCGGTGACCCCAACCGATACGTCGAATGTGTCCGACAGGCCGCCGACGTCACCGACAGGTACAGCTGATTCTCCGATTCTTAAAAGTCGCCTCTTTAAATTACCGATGGAAATAGTTCGAGTCTATGAATTCCCAAAAAACCCATGGCTAGCTATTTTTCGAGTAAGGTTTACGAGGATCTCCACTCCCCCAGAATTCAAGCGGGTTAGTTCTGAGCGTAATTAGATCCCGTTTTGAATTTCTAAAAATCCGGCTACCCATTTTCCGGTTCCAGCTAGCAGATGTTCAGACGAAAAAAGCGAAAATTCCAAAAGCGCATAAAATCCATCCGTCATTTGCAACACATCGTCCCCATCGTCCACTACGCGACACTCCAATTTGCGCATTCTAAGCGTGTACAATGATTTTTGCTCTTTTGAAGGGGCGCTCTAAAACGGAGAATTTTAATCACGTCCTTGCGCTCTTTCCAAATCCCGTTTTCTCCGGCGCATTTCATTATCCATTTTCTTGGGCGGGAGCAAACCGGATACTGGGGCTGATCAGCACATTATCTGCCTCTTTTTTTTGCATGCCGGTTTGTTGACTTGAGGTTATGGGGGGATATCGACAAACAGTGCGTAACCCCTTGTCTCCCTCATCGCCCCTACCCTCAAGAAAGAACCATTACCAACAAATTGTTTGCGAACCAAACCCGCGCTGGCAGGGGGGGCGGGGGTCGAGCTGGAATCCGGATCTGCCAGCTATGTCAGGATTTAGCGCTGTGGAAGATGAAATCTAAGATTAGGTATTGTGGGTGTGAAAATTTTTTACTAGCTCGGCGACGTCTTGTAGCAGTTTAGAATTGAAAATTTCGGTTGAAAAGCCTGAAAAAGACTTTTAAACCGTGCAAGAGCTTCTACTAGCCTATCGGCGTCTTGTAGTAGTTCAGAATTCAGCCCGCCTTGCCTAAACCTACTCTTAAGAAGCATCCTCTCTTAAGTCTGAACTGTATTAGCCTATCGACGTCTTGTAGCCGTCCGGAATTAAGAAATCTAGCTGCTGAAATTTGATTTTCATCTTAGAGCATTAAAGCTTTTTAAAGCTTGTAGGATATAGTCAAAAACTCAATGATTAAAAAATCGAACTTTGCTGTGGGTTTTGAACGAATCAGGAACCTACCATTGATATACTGATTCTTTTCAGGAAAGACCTCGGGATCTGGCTTCTCCGCGAATGCCTGCCGGGCTACGAGTTCGTCGCCTCGGCCCGCCGCTGCAAGACCGTTCGCTCGGTCCGTCGCCAGCAGCAGCTCTGCGATGGCCCCAACGCCACCTCATTCCAGTTCTGCCCGACCTCTCGTCTTTCTTCGGTGGGTTCAAGGGTCCCTGAAAGGTTAGGATAGCCGGCTCGGTTTATACACGAAAATCTCAAAAAAAAGCCTCGCGAAAGTCCTTAAAGGGACAGGAAAGGCATCGCTATGGATTGTCGACGGCTTAAAAGTGGCGCACCAAATTTTCCTGGAATTTCAAACTATCGATATCGATGGCTTGCGTGTTCCTTTAAAATCGTAGCAATCCAGCGGTGTCGTGATTACAAAAATTCCGATTTTTGGCGTTTTCGAGCTTTCCCTGCCAGCGCCTAATCCTGCCTTCCACGGCCCTTTAAAAACATCCGCTTGTTGCAGTTCATGGTCGACGAGATCCGCGAGGCTCCCCGCCAATGCGCGTGCCCCAACGGCGAGCTGAACTGCGTGTGCCCATCCCCCGAAATCCTCGAGCCCGTCAATCTGCCCGTCAACTCGCCCAAGACGCGCCGCAGCCCGCAGATGACCACCACCGCTGTAAGTATTTTTCATCGTTTTCCATTAGCTCGCGGGCCCATATCATTCTAAAACCCCGATTTTTCAGAAGATCACCTTCTCGCAGTACCAGAACTGCCCGTGCCCCCAGCAGCAGCCCCAGTGCAAGTGCGTCACCCAGCAGAACAACCAGGTCAGCAACGAAATTATTTTCTCTAGCTCTCAGGTTGTCTCTCCTCCCCCTCTCTCTTTCTTTCTTTGTCTCTCATTCTCTCTCTCTCTTTTACCCTCTCTTTTCCAGCCAGTCGTCGCCTCGACCCAGTGCTGCCCCCAACAATCCGCCACCACCATGTCCCAACAATGCATGTGCCAGCAGGAGACCCAGCAGCTGGTAAGTCCGAGACGCTACGAGCTACACTCCCCCTCCGTGTGCGCTCTAGGTTTTGCTGTGGCATTTTGGCATATTTCTGTCGTTCCTTTGCTCGGTCATAAGTCGTCTTTTCGAGGGAGAGAGAGAGAGAGAGAGAGAGAGAGAAAAGAGAGAGAGAAATAGAGAGCGCGAGAGGTGTTGGCGGACGGCGTTGATCTGAATTCCAGGCCCTTAAAAGCTCCTTAAGAGCTCCTTAAAGGTTGAACTGCTCTACTGAAATTGATGACTTGAGTTTCGACTTCCCGGTCCCTTTAAAGCAACTGAACTGCTTGCTCAGCCCGTTCCCCCAAATACGCGACTTCAGAATTCCCTTAACAGAGCGATACCCCGATTTCAGAACCCATCTTCGCTGCCGTGTTTCCCTTCACCAGTGTGCCACTACTGTCTGACTGTCTAACCCCACCGTACCGCCAAATACGGAGTGTGGAGTGTGGTGTAATTTGGAGCCCTGTGTAGCCCCGATTTTTCTAGAACTGCCAGACCACCACCACCCAGCAGCAGTACTGCCCGCAACAGCAGGAAGTCGTCCAGCAGCCGCAGTCGTGCCCGCTTGGTGAGTACGAGAGAGTTCGAGGAGAGTAAGGGAAAGTACGAGAGAGTACGATAGAGTACGCTAGAGTGCAAATTACGGCAGAGTTTCGCCGTCTCGCCGCCGAATGCGAGCGATACGCTCGAGTACGGGCCATTACGTGCCAGTACGGTATATGGTAGTAGGACGGAGTACCAGTGAGTACGATCGAGTACGGCCCCGCACTAGATTACAGCCGAGTACGATTGAGTACCATAACGTACAGGAAGGTATTCTGAATCCAGTGCTGTAAGTACGGTCGAGTACGCAAAGTACGGTCAAGTACGGTTCAATACACCAAAGTACAGTTGACTACGCCCCACTACCCCCAATTACGGCCAATAATCAACGCGTAATTTAGTGCAAGGCGGAGTGCAGAACGCCGCCTACCAGGGCATCTGCTCGTGGATGGTCGACCCTCTTGCCAAGGACCCGGAGAGCTGCACCCACTTCCTCCAGTGCCAACCGGCCCCCAACAATCTGTACTGCGGACGGTAGGGTTACGGTAGGATGTCCAACTGTCCCTCCCCCTTTAGCTGGCAGCGAATGCCCTGTGCCCCAGCCACCATCTTCGACGAGCAGGCCCAGGTCTGCGTCTGGGATACTAGTAAGTTTTTTTAAGTTAGAGTCGGGAATTTCTGGCTTGGTCGGAGCGACAAATTAAGCAAAGCTGAAGCCAAGCCAGGCTAGCCAAGCAAATCCAAAGCCAAGCCTAAGCTAGGCCTAAGACTAAGCCAAAACTATGGTTAAGCCAAGCTAAAGCCAAGCGAAGTCCAAGCCTGAGCCTATACATAAGCCTAAGCCAAGCGAAGCTCAAGCCTAAGTCTAAGCTCATGATTCTCAAGTCTTTCGCATTTTTAGCTGCCCGCTGTTTCCCACTTCAAATTTTGCTAAAAATCTACAAAACAAACCCTGTCCAACTTTCTCAACAAAAAGCAAAAAACGTTCCCCTCGCCAGGATTCGCACCCGGACCCTCAGCCCCAAAACTGAACACACAACCATTCGGGCAAATGCCAGATATTGAATAACATGGATGTAGTTAGGATTTTACATTAACTTTTTCAGGCTCTCAGCCCGCCTCCCTGCCCACCCCGGCCCCGTACGTGCCCACCCAGGCGCAGCAGAACTCGCAGTGCGGATGCACGGGAGGAGTTCAAATCGGCAGCTGCAACCAGAACTACCAGTGCCCCGGCCAATCTGTCTGCCAGGTTGGACAGCAAAATGGAAATCAGGTGAGATAGATGATTTTACCATTCTCCCTCTGTATGTCTCACTCTCTCGCTCTCTCGCTCTCTTACTCGGACTGCTCCCTCTCTCTCTCTCGCTCTCTCTCTCTCTACCCCAAAATACCTGAAGCTGTTGTGTGCGAAAAACAGTAAACGTGTAGTGGCCCATTGTGGCGTCTAGTTACACGAGTACGTGTTTTCGCCCAGGACCCCAAAATATTGGCCCTGCGCCCGGTTTTCCCGGGGGCTACTAGGTACACTTTGTCTAGCGGGGGAGCCTTTCGCTATGTGATACCTTAAAAGTGGTTAGATGGAAATTCAACGACCAAATGAGATAGGGAGAGAGCGAGAGAGCGAGCGGGTGAGCAAGGAGGAGAGTCCGCGAGACCGGTTTCATTAAGGCCCTCATCCATTAATCAAAAGAACTGCGCCTGACCCGCCAATTGCCATCCCCGGCTCTTGTCTCTTCACGTGTAGATGACGTGCCAACAATCGCCGTCTTGTCCCCCTTGTCCCAAGTGCCCCCTCTCGACTACGCGATCATCCAATCGACACCCCCCCCGTCGTGTCCATGGTGTCCGATCCGATATCTTGAGTGGCGCTTCCCCCGTTTTGTCCCCTTTTGTTCATCTCCATCCCCGTCCTCATCCAAATTCAATCCCATCCTCTCTTTTCAGTGCATGGTCTGCTGCTACTTCCGCAAGAAGGCCAAGCGCGCCTAAGCGTCTTCCGTTTCCACGTCTCGGCTCGTCACGCGGGTCCCCCGGCAGGTTGGGTATTTCGTGGTTAAAGGGACCGGGAAGGCAGGGCTATGGATTCTGCCGCGTCGCGACACGTGACGCGCACTTCCTTTGGCGTCGCGTACCCAAATGGGCGTGATTGCCTCTCATTAATGCATCCACGTTTCAGAGCCAACCCCCCGTCCCCCTATCTATTGGAAAGTGCCCGACTTTCCCGACACCCAAGCGGAGGAGCCAAAAAACCCCTCCACTACGCACGTTGTCTGTAAATACAAGTGTCCCCGGCTTAATAAATATGTTCATTAATGCGTGGAAATGCGGGGGATATGCATAAAATTCGGGCGTACAGAGTACATTGGAGTAGCTGGGCGAAAAAAGAAGACAAGGCAGCGCCAAGGTGGAAGTCTAGCGGCCGCTAATTTCAATCGATTACGACAGGAAATAGGACGATACCAAAATTTTAATTCTAGGCTGCAAATTCCAGCGAAAATGCATCGAATTCGAGCAGTCAGAGCGCATCGGTGTAGCAGTAGCAAAACATACCCTTGAATTTTGACGGATTTCGGCCTCAAAATGCTTTACAAAATGGAGAGCGCATAATCCGAAAAATTCGTCTTCCCCGGAATATCTTTAATCCTGATATTGTAACTATCCAAGTACGATTTATGCCCTCGGATAATAGATCTCGCATATAGCACCCAACGGCCGGCCACACTCCACGGCATACCACTTGCCGGACGGAACGTCGATAGTTGCGCACTGTACTCCCGGGGTGGGCTCGCCTGGAATGCTGATTATTTGCGGGTACGGCCGAGTACAGAACCTCAAAAAAATTTCAACCTACCAGGTGCCCAGTTCAAATAGTCAACCGTCGTGCCGTCCCAATTCTCCCAGAATTGAATATGGCCGACTTGTTCGTAGTACAGTGATGTGTAGAGGAGCCCCGCGGAGGGGGATACTGTAAGGTGGAAAGATTGGAAGCTAAGAAAAAGATCAAGTTATTCTCTAGCCACTTTAAATGTTGTCCGGGAGACGGACTTCTGCTGGCACTGTCCCTTTAGACTGTCCCTCAAGGCACGGCTATCGATTCTTCGTTATGGATTCACGAGAATTTCAGAATTTTACGTTAAAGTTTAGACATTTTATAGAAAAATGTATATCAAAATCACTAATCAAAAGCTTGGACCGTTTTAAAATAGAAAAATTGCAAAAAATCTGTAAAATTCACCAAAAAGCCTACCCTCACTGGCATACTGTACGAGGGCGTTATTTTGGTAGAGGCTGTGTATTGAGATGAGGTACCCTTTCAGCCCTGCGCACATGTCCCATTGTTGCGAGCGGTTGGCCGCTAAAAAGTGGTTTTTTCGAGCCTCGAAAATTCACCAATGCCTCCAGACTACCGTAGTTTAAAACTGAAATTTTTGATATGATTACGATGGGTAAAATAATATTTACACTTACTTTTCTTTTCATTTTCCGAACCGCTAAACATTGCTTTATGAGCGAAAATTTTAAGATGATACTATGGACAATTTTAGGTATTGGTATGGGAAGCTTCGTCGCCGAGGTTTTTCGCTGTTTTGGCAAATCGCGAATTCCGGCATAGTACTTTTTACAGTTTTCGGCATTCCTTAGGTACTTTAAAATTGTAGACGATAGATTACGCCATGTAAATACAGCGTTGAAGAAAACAGGGTCTTCTAAAATGGAACTTAGAGATTTAGAATTTTAGGAATATCATGTTTCTATCATTTAAGTCACCATTTAAGAAACCACAAAAATTCTAAAACCCGAGTAAATATTATTGTTATCCCGTCCGGAAAGTGCAGCGTCAAGACCCACGCGCCAACTCGATATGCACGCATTCACGGAGTTCGGTGGCGTTGAAGGTATTTGGTGGGCATTGCGCTGTGGAGGGGATTGTGAGCAATGCAAGAAACGGAAGTAGAAAAATTAGGGACCAGCGCAACATCTTTGGATCAAAATTTGAGCGAATTTGTCAATTTTGGGTGCGGGAGAAGCCGTGGGTTGGTGTGACATCATCTGATAAGCTATCACCGGGTGATCCTTGGTTTTTTCGGGGCTTAATCCAGTTTTTTGGGGTTTTCCAAACCAACTTTTCCGGGAAACGGATATTTTTAAGGGACGGGGAGAGCAAGCAGAGAGCGAGAAAGAGAGCTAGAGAGAAAGCAAGATGGAAAGAACCGAGAGAAAAAATACGAAATTGAGAGGTTTTTGCCTGAACGGCTTGAAATCGCCGCTGAAAACGGCAGCGTGCTCATTTTGATGCCTGTGCTCGTACTCATTTTTATGCATGAGACGCACAGAACTAAGGAAAAGATCTATCTGTCTCTCTCTCCCTCTGTCACTGTCTCTCTCTCTCTTTTTCTCCCTCTCTCGCTCTCTCACTCTCTCTCTTTCGCTCTCTCGCTTTTCTTCCAAATTTTATAACCAGACAAGTTTCCTCTAAATCCAGCAACTGCTTTCACACCTCAAAAAACCAACCATCTAACCGTATTGGCCAAAAAGTGAAACCCGGAAACCGGTCCCCCCTCACTGGCTCCTACTGCTGAATGCCAAAGCCATATGATGGTAGTCTTATTGGGGAAAGCGAGGGAAATGTGTAAACTGGAGAGAGAGAGAGCGAGAGCGAGAGAGAGGCGGAGAAATGGACTGTCGACCTGCCCGGAAAAGGCCTGATCCCCTTCCCATCTCTCCCTTTCGCCCGGCCAACCCATCCTGAAAATATCGACAAAACAAATGCGACCCGTGCCCGGACCGTGATCTGTGTATTGATTTGCATTTTGCGTTTTTGGGAAGAATGCTATGGTTTTTATTTTTATTTTTTTTGTAGGAGGTCCGAGCTGCAAAATTTTGTGTGAGAGAAAGCGAGAGCGAGAGAGCGAGCGAGTGAGAGAGAGCGAAAGAAATAGGGAAAAGGAGAGTGCGAGAGAGAGAGAGTGAGAGAGCGATCATTGAAGGACGTTTTATACTTAAATCGTTCGTGTCCTTAACATCTTCTCTTGTTTACTATTCCCGACAATTTTATGATTGTCAATTGAAGAAAAAATTTCACCTCCATCATCTTTTTTTGGCTGTTTTTGTTTTTAGGCCTTTTTCACGCTTTTCCAATGATTTTACGGTAAATATTGCACTTATTCGAGGGGGGCCCAGAAACAATAGGGGGTCAGCTGTTGGACTGTAGATAAGGCGGCGGTTTCGGGATGAAATTTGTTGTCTCAGACGGCAGTGTTGGGTTGGCCAAATTCATTCCAGGTTCCGAACGGCGAGATCTGTGGTTTTACCTGTATAAATGATGCAACATTTTTACTCTCTCTCGCCCCCTCTCTTTCTCTCGTCCATCACTCGCTCTCTCTCGCGCTCTCTCTGGCTCGCCTTTTCTCGCTCTCTCGTTCTCGAAAGCGCGCTTTCGCCTGTCTGCCCTTATCACTCTCTGTCTCTCTCTGTCTCTCTCTGTCTCTCTCTCTCGCTCTCTCTCTCTCTCCCCCCCCTCCCCCCTCTCTGTCCATGGCTCGTGCTCTCGCTCGCTGTTTATCGCTCACTCTCTCTCGGTTTCTCTCTTAACCCCCTCTACTTCCAGAGCTTCTAGCGGGCAGCTGATGACCGTCCGACACCGGGATGCTGCCCCGCGACGACAATGGCACGCTATGTACGTATTATTAAAATCAAATAAATTTAGCGTTTGCACAAAGTAAATTTGTATAATTTAAAAAAACAATAATTAATTTTGCGTAATTTTTCAGATGAACTGCTCGACGCCGCCGCCCAGCAAAACTACACGACTGATGGGGGTGAGAGAGCGTTGAAAGACACTGGAATTGTAGAACATCTTAGCTGAGGGCGTCACCGTAAAATCAAGCGATAGTAATAGGATGCGATTTCCGCAACAATCCATCTGCTTTTTAGTAACGATAGCTCTGGGGGGATAGGTTGTGCAGGCTGGAACGCAGTTAGTATCAATTTCCGTTTCACTCTCTCTCTCTCTCTCTCTCTCTCTCTCTCTCTCTTTCGCTGTCTTGACCTTGCTCCCGATCCCATAAGCGCCCTGGGAAAAGCGTTCCTTCCGGAAAAATCGGGCTTCCGGCGCGCCCTCCGGCTCAAATGATCTGAGATCCAGATTTCGCTCTGTCTACCCCATAAACCGTATAGGATCGACCGTAATATTAACACCATAAATACCACACCTTGAAAATGTTCGGCCAGGACCCACAGTACCCAATCCTGGACCCCGAGCAGCAGCGGAGATGTAAGTTTTTCTAGTGGAAAAGCTGTAAAGGGCTCTATTCGCTTCTCTCTCTCTCTCTCTCTCTCTCTCTCTCTCTCCAAATAATAATTTGTGAGGATAAAAAAACTATCAAAACCCGCTATTAAATTATTTTCTGGCCCCTTCAAAACCATAAAACAACTATCCCTTTTTTCAGTCGTCGAATTCACGATGGGGCGCCTTCTCGAGGTGCTGGTGGTGACTCTGGTGCCGACGTTCGGCATTTTAATCCTCTGCGGCAGTCTCGCATGTTATATCATCAAAAGGATGGACACCGGACGACCGGGAGGCGGTACGACGCAATACGAATTTACACTAATCGTCCTTAGGTGTCGAGTGTCCACCGCCAAGCCCTCCGACCCCACCCCCCGGCTATGCCATCGCATGCTCATCGGCACATGTGCCGCCCCCACTCTACGACGATCTCTACAAGGTCTACCCGCCCATTGTACATAGGTGTGTTACGTAGCGTAATAGCGCGTGAAATCGTGGGGAATGAGAAATGTATAGAAGAAAGTCTTTGCTTCCTTTGTACGCAGGGTGTGAGGTATCGTAACGTTGCGCGGCCTTGGGCAGCCAGCAGGATATAATTGTAGTACATAGTAGCATTGCATAGCGGACGGCATAGATGCTATAGCGCTACGTAGCATTGCGTAGCGTTACGTAGCGTTGCGCAGCCTGGTATATCTTTTGTTAGCTAAAGGAAATCAGCGATAGTACAGTACAAACTAAATCGCGTGGTGAAGAGGAGCCTACGTGCTTCGTTTTTTGGCCTTGCGTAGTGAAATACGTTATGTCCGGCCGCACTACGGGACGTAAAGTGGCAATGCGTCGCCTTGCGTAGTGTTTCGCTGGGTGGCAGTGCAATGTAAATTTTTGTATTTCTTGAAGGGTTGTGTAGCTTTCTTTCAAAAATTGCGTAATTTTACATAGCCTGACGTTAAGGTGCCCCTCCGCGGCCCTCTCCCTTTATTTTTTGGTCCGTAGTGCTGCGTAGTACTGCCAGACGTGGCGTAAGGTAGCTTAACGTAGCGTAGCGTAGTCAAGCCCTTCCGCCGCGTTGTGTTGTCTTTTTCTGCGGTGCATAGTGTACAGTTTCGTAACGTAGCGTAGTCTAACGTAGCTTAGCAGAGTCATTTTTATCACTGTTTAGCTACAAATTGCTAAAAATTGACTGAATATCGAATAAGAACCCCTAAATCTAATTTTTTACAGTAATCCCGCAACCCGAGACACGCTGCCCGTGACGCCAAAGCCCGAATGATTGATTTTCCTGAATAATTCTACCATTATAGCCTTTTTAAGCGAATTTCCGAGCGATTACCATCGACACTCCGTATTCTGTGCGACTTTGGCCAAGCCTTTGAAATGCCATATTTTCAAAAATATATAGCTTTGCGCCCCCCTGTGACGATGCTCATTTTTGCTCACTTGCCCCCACCGGTCCATATCCTTCTTTCGTGATTTTATACTGATTTTTTTGCTTCATTTTTGCATGTAATCTTTCACGCTCGACTCGTTGCCACGGCTTTATTCGAATGAACTACACGGTGTTGACCACGGGGAACAACACGAAAAAACCGCCAAAAAGGGATATGGGGCTGTTCAAGGGGAAATATGCGTTGTATTGGGCGCCGCCGGCTGGACGCAAGAGCGCTGTGGCTGGTGGACGGTAGATGATCAGAGCTCCGTCTTCAGCAGCGTGTATCTGGAATCAAGGCTTCGATTTGGGATTGGCTATGCTAGCTTCGGTTTAGCTTAGGACCAACTTAGGCTTAGATTCGGCGTTGGCCTGACTTAGCTTCGATTTAGGCTTCGCTTCTGCGTAGGATGTATCGCAGGTTTAACAGAAGCTTGGCTTGACGTATGCTTAGGCTAGGCTTAGCGTAGACTTGGCTTAGGCTTAGCTTGAGTTTGAGAGTTAAATTCTGGCTTATTCTTGAGCTTGACCCGCCCCTGGCTTAGCTTAGACCCTTTCTGAAGCTTAAGCTTATCTCGGAATAGGCTAGCCAGGCTTAGCCCTGACTTGGGTGTGGCTTAGCTTCGGATCCGCTTAGGCTAAGTCGGGCTTAGGTTGCAGCGTATGACGCTTCTAGCTGAGGCTCAAGATAACTTTCCCGACCTCATCTCACTGGGCTTCAGCGGCTTGAACACCGAATCGGGCAGCTTAAGTGCAACCGCGGGCGCCGGTGGCTTCTCGGGCTGCTGCTGCTGCTGCTGTTCCTCCATTTTTCGTGCTCCGATCGGCGGGAAATTGTGACGTTGGTGAAAGTCGCGGTGCAGCTTCCCGGATTTCAGGTCGTCAACAAACTGTAAAAAACGTGTTCTTTCTCCCGATGAATAATGTTTTTAGTAAAATTTAACTATTTTTAAGTGAGCAAACATCAAAAAAAAAGTAGAAAAAAATCAAATGACTTTTGGTCTGCAATCGGCCAATTTTGGCCGAAAATTTCTATATCTTTTCACCAAGTTTTAAGTTATAAATTCCTCTAATTAGATTAGGAAAAAAAGATCATGAGGAAAAGTTGATTTCCCCCGATAATGCCACAGAACGCCGTGGCCAACAGACCTGCTTGAGTCTGCCCGGCGAATCCCAGCTGGTGCTCGGGTCGTCGAAGAGGAACACGTGCTCCATCGAGTCGATCACCAAAACCGGGAGATCCTGAAAATTGAGGAAGAAATATAATTCATTCATTTTCTCAGACCTTTTCACTTTTCCGAAGCATGTGGAGCGGATGCGAAAAACCTTGGCGTCGGCCAGCAGCGGGTTTATCGTCCGGTCCTCACCGAGCTCGCGGGCTACCTTCAAATTTCACGGATGAATGAAAAATTCAACTAAAAAGTACTGACCACTGAAATAAAAAGCTCCGTATTTTTGGCATCGGCCCGATCGCGGAAAAGGACGATCAAAGGCAGCCTCTCCTCCGTCACCTCCTCCACGTTTTCGAAGGTCAGCTGAAAAGCAGTATAAAGCGTTTAAAATTATCAACTAAAGCCACGAGGAATTTCCAAACAATTTTTTTTGGGCTTTTTCTAGCTGGGGTCATCAGAAAGCCCTGTGACGCCGTGCTCGCCCTCTGCCCCCGAAACGCGCGACACCTGGCCCACTCCCAGGAGCCGGGGTATAAAAGAGCCCGGCGACGGCCCATGGCCCTGAGCGACTGACGATTACAGATCCAACTCGGAGACAGATCCAAACCTCGTGTCGACTTCTGCTTTTTAACTCTGACGCTCATTCTTTTGTTTTTGCTTGTCTACACCTCTATTTCGTATTACTTTGCAATTTTCTTTTACTGCTTTTTCCTTTTTTTTTTGCTGAATTCACCTCTCGAACGGCCGGGATGCAGCGTTCTTTCAACCATTGCTTCGCATGGCCAAAATTGTCCAAGGTGCCGGGGTACTAGAAAAATATCAAGTTTTGACGATTTGAAACCTCCTCGCGCTCCTGATTGGCGCCCTGGAAGTAGACGAGGCTGCCCTCCCGGCCCGGCTTGGTCAGGTACGGCAAATCGGGAGCCGACGCCCAAAAGCGGCAATCATAGCCTCCGAGGGTCATCGCCAGTTTCTGAACGTTAATTTCTTTCTTTTTGTCCGGTTTAATATATTTTTTCAACTAAAATGTTTGGTTTGTTATTTTCAGGCTGAAATGAACATTTATATATATTTTACGCGAATAGATTTAATGGAAGTAAAAATAAACTATAGGGATATGCCTAAAAAGTTTTAAATGTCTTACCACCGCATTTCCAAAGCTGTACGAATCGCGGTCGTGCGAGTAGACGATCACATTGCGCTTGTTTTGGGCGAGGCCGATGTCCAGGGCTTCCTAACCATACATATTTTATCAACTTCAACCCCCACCAGGCTGTCAAACGTCTCCATCGGCGGGTCGAACTTGGCGCGCACGTGCTCGACGAGGGCTTGGCTCGTGCGGGCGCCTCTGAAAGAACGAAGCATCAACGTTAACCTGGAAATGCCCGCCTGTACTCCCTGTGCATGGCGCCGGCGATGAAGTAGCGCATCGTCGGGTACTTGTGCACCCGGTATTTGTTAATAATTTCCGGCTAAATCGGGTAATCGGAGAATAGAGGCGCACCTCCTTCATCCCGTCGACCGTCGCGAAGACGGCGCTCAAGTCGGGGTGCTTCTGTTTGAATTCCCGGGCCGCCTCGTCCCAGACGGGCTTCAGGCGACGCGAAAATGGGCACCAGTCAGCCCCAAATGCCACGAAAACGACCTGAAGAAGACGAGGAACGGTTTTAAGAAACATCCCAAGCTACCGTAGCCGAATTGAGGACCTGGTCGACGTTGTGGCGGGTGATGACCACGTTTTCGGGCTGTACAAAAATAATTTATCGCCGAAACAAAAATACCGCGACGGCGCCAATAATCAACCACAGCAGGGCCAACCAGTGGACAGCGCGCATTCTTCTGTAGAAAAAGATGGAACTGGACTGTTAGCGGTGAGTTAGCGGAGGGAATCAGTTTTTGTTTATCCGTTAATAACAAGTTTTGATGAGGGTCTTCATGGTTGATTGCTAAAAAGCTGCAAAAAACATTTTAAAAGTTCGAAAATTTTGCCGTTCTTTGGTCATTTTTCATCGATCCACAGCTGATCAAAAATTTTTCAGACGTTTTTCTAGGTTCTTTTATAGCTAAACCAGCCGATTACAGTCGCTTCGCGACTGTCATCGGCTGGACTTCGGGCTACCCTCCATATTCTACACCACCACATCTCATCTCTACCTTACGCTGATGCCTTCATGGCAATACCTACACTGATGGCTTCAGATACCTCCTCTAGCCACCCCCCACAAAAACATAGCTACCTTCCCGATGGCTTCAGATACCCCTCCGAGCCGAAATTCCCTTAAAAAAACTACTTCGATACCTCTGATGGCTTCAGATACCCCCCATTGCCGAAATCCCCTTAATAACTACCTAAATACCTTCCTGGTGGCTTCAGATACCCCCATAGCCGAAATCCCCCCTAAAAACTACCAAAATACCTTCCTGATGGCTTCAGATACCCCCCTAGCCGAAATCCCTTAAAAACTACCAAATGCCTTCTGATGGCTTCAGATACCCCCATAGCCGAAATCCCCTTAAAAAACTACCAAAATACCTTCCTGATGGCTTCAGATACCCCCTAGCCGAAATCCCCTTAAAAAACTACCAAAATACCTTCCTGATGGCTTCAGATACCCCCCATAGCCGAAATCCCCTAAAAAACTACCAAAATACCTTCCTGATGGCTTCAGATACCCCCTAGCCGAAATCCCTTTAAAAAACTACCAAAATACCTTCCTGATGGCTTCAGATACCCCCATAGCCGAAATCCCCTTCAAAAACCACCTAAATACCTTCCTGATGGCTTCAGATACCCCCCATAGCCGAAATCCCCTTCAAAAACCACCTAAATACCTTCCTGATGGCTTCAGATACCCCCATTGCCGAAATCCTTCAAAACCACCTAAATACCTTCCTGATGGCTTCAGATACCCCCATTGCTGAAATCCCTTCAAAAACCACCTAAATACCTTCCTGATGGCTTCAGATACCCCCATAGCCGAAATCCCTTCAAAACCACCTAAATACCTTCCTGATGGCTGATACCCCCATAGCCGAAACCCCCTTCAAAACCACCCTAAATACCTTCCTGATGGCTTCAGATACCCCCATTGCCCGAAATCCCCTTCAAAAACCACCTAAATACCTTCCTGATGGCTTCAGATACCCCCCATAGCCGAAATCCCCTTCAAAAAACTACCAAAATACCTTCCTGATGGCTTCAGATACCCCCCATAGCCGAAATCCCCTTCAAAAACCACCTAAATACCTTCCTGATGGCTTCAGATACCCCCATAGCCGGAAATCCCCTTCAAAACTACCAAAATACCTTCCTGATGGCTTCCAGATACCCCCATAGCCGAAATCCCCTTCAAAACCACCTAGATACCTTCCTGATGGCTTCAGATACCCCCCATAGCCGAAATCCCCTTCAAAAACCACCTAAATACCTTCCTGATGGCTTCAGATACCCCCATTGCCGAAATCCCCTTCAAAAACCACCTAAATACCTTCCTGATGGCTTCAGATACCCCCCATAGCCGAAATCCCCTTCAAAAACTACCAAAATACCTTCCTGATGGCTTCAGATACCCCCCATAGCCGAAATCCCCTTCAAAAACCACCTAAATACCTTCCTGATGGGTTCAGATACCTCCCCTAGGCGGAATCCCCTTAAAAAACAAAAATAACGACCGACCGGATGAAATGAGAGAAAAAGGAAATGGTATGGCTCCCGTGAAAATTTTCATCCACGAAACGCGCGCCACCTGGCTCACCATGTCCAAAATCACCCCAACCTCCGTCCCCACCCCTTTTACTAAGTAAAAACTTTCAAAGTTAATTTTAATAATTTAAATTAAAACTTTTCATAATTTTTTATCAGTTTGGGGTTTCTGACCACCGCTCTATCCGAATCCGAAGAGAGCTAAGCTCTAGCTCCTTTCCCCTTCGAGTTGAATCCGGGACACGACGGACGGACGGACGGACGGACGGACGCCACTACTTTTTTATTATAGTTGATACTGTGTAAAATGTTAAAAAGGGTTTATATTTTGTATCGTACAGGATTAGTACGAAAAATCAGTTCCCCCTGCTAATAATCCAGTACCGAAAAAGTGCAAAAAAGCATATAAAAACCCACCTTCAATGGCGTTGACGAAAAATACAGTGCATGCATCTCTGTTCTCTATTTTCCCTTTCTTACCATACTTCGCATTTTCATGCAAATAGCCTCGTAATTCACTCAAATCGAATCCACTTTATTCTCACAGCAGCGTCACTAATATCACAGCGAATGGGGGGAGGGGGAAATATTACGGGGGCAAAGGCTTGTAGAAATTCTAAAAATCCGGACCGTACCAAAATACTCAAGAGTAGCAGCAGCATAAACAAAAACAAAACGCCAAAAAAACCCGAACAGAACACGGCCGCCCATTCCTGAGAATGGGGAGGGCACATAGCAAGGTACAGAGAAAAGGAGCAAAAAGTCTTCTAGACGATTCTTGGCCATCTTTTTCGAGAAAGTTGTGGGTTTTTATTACAGCTCCTGCTTCATCAGCAGCGAGTATCTGGAAAGGGGAGGTTTAATATCTGCAAAATTACTATATAATTTTCTTTTACCAAAATTCGGTTCTTATGCACTATCGGGGGGGGGGCAATCTTGTCTATCAGTCTAGAAAGCCTAGGAACTTAAGAACTATTTTTCAACGAGAAAACCTATCTAAAAATAGTAATATTTTTTGAAAAGGTCGAAATTTTGGTCGAAAAGGCTATATTTTTGCGATATTTTTAATAAAATTTGGTAATAAATAAAACTAATGAAGTATTTCACGTTTAGAAATCGTAAAATCAGTTTAGAAGCACTTCCGCTATTCATATTTTGAAAATCGGATCCTACGAAAAACATGTCGTCCTCCCTCCCCCGGATAATGCGAAAGAACCGGAAAATGCGTTTCGGAAAATTCTTTAGCCAACATGAATTCATCAAAGCCAAACCCACCGTTTTCCGCTCGGCTTCAGCTCCTTGAACACTGACGGCGGCGGGTCGGTCTTTGGCCGGTGGCCTGGGGGCCCTTGGCCGCCCGGTCGTGCATCTCCGTCCTGAAAAACCACCAAGATAGCTTGTTCAATTGAGAAGACACTACCTGCTCGTGCTCCTCCTCGATCCCGTTCTCCGACTTGAACTTGGCCAAGTCCATCATCTTCTGGTCGAGGCTCTCGTGGAACTCCTTGTGCAGCTTGCCAGAGTTCAAATCTTCGACGAACTAAAGGGATTCATTATGAAAAAGTCAAGACTCCAATTACCTGTCGTAATTTTCCCGGGGCGGACACTTGCGACATGTCGGGGAAGAGGAACATGTGCTGGAAGGAGTCGATGGCCAGCACGGGTAGATCCTGAAAATCGGGGTTTCCCAAAGGGTCTTTGCTAGGCTGCCCAAGGCTCGAGACAACCTTTTGCGTCTTTCCAAGATGTCGCAATGGGTGGGCGAACTTCTTGCCGTCGGCGAAAAGCGGGTTGACGGCCCCCTTGATATCGTAGAGCTCGCGTACCACCTGAATTAAAAATTAAAAATATTTAAGGGAAGTTTACCGCATCCGTAAACATTTTGTCGTGCTCCTTGTTGTTGACGTCGCGGAAGAAGATGAGGAAGGGTAGTCCTTCTTCGGTCAATTCTTCCACATTTTCAAAGGTGACCTTAAAAATTTTTGTAAGAAAGTTTGTTAGACAATACCTCTCGAACCAACGGGATGCACTTATCCGTCAGCCACTGCTTCATCAGGTCATAGTTCTCCATGCTCATCGTATACTACAAAATATAAATTTTCTTCCCCCGATAATGCCAAAGAACCGTAAAATAAATATTATTAGGGTGCCCAAAATTCCGAATATTACCTGCTGATGGTCTCCCGTATCGGGGTCGACGAACGAGATCATGTTTCCCTGAATATCCGCACCGGATGGGGCAGCAAGCGCCGGGTCGGACACCCAGAAGGAGCAGTCCTCGCGCAGAATCATGGCCGCTTTCTAAACAAAGGTTTTCATAAAAAATGGCAAATACCTTCAAATTCGAGAAGGCCACCGAATTGCGGTCCTTCGTGTAGACGAGCACGTTTCTCTTGCTGCGATCCAGATGCGTGTCAATATATTCCTAAAAAACACTCATCCCGTTTTCAATTGGAGAAACCTGTGACGGGAACTCGTTCATGGCCGTGGATAGCTGCTCCAGCACATGCGTTGTTAGAGCATCCACGGAGCGGGTGCCTCTAAAAAATTTTAGTAAAATGAACCATCTGAAAAAGTTTTAAGGCTGATTTACCTGTACTCCTTGGTGACGAGCTCGCCGTTGACCCAGTACTTCATCGTTGGGTACTTGTTGACAAAGTATCGATCCGCGACGTCAGCCTGAAATGGATAGATTGTAATAAGAAAAAAATCGAAAAATTAAGAAAAACTAGAAACTACAAAGCGACAAGGTTTTGGGGCTGGGTAAACTTTCAATAATTAATTTTGTAACTTTTTAATTTTGAAATCTTGGTTGAAACTCGGCCATTTTTTATCCACAAAAACTTTTTTTTTACGTTTATCAGAGAAAAAACGGTTTTGAAACACGATTATATTAGAAAGTTGGTTTGAGCACGTTTCCTCCAAAAAGTAAGTTTTGCCGTGAAAAGTCTACGAAGCCAACTAAAACCCCTTCAAAATATTTCTAAACCTGGTTCCTTCTCAATCCCCTTTCTGTATAAAAACCCACATGAGCCACCGAGTCGACGATCGCAAAAACGGCGCTTTTGTCGGGGTGCTCGCGCTTGAAGACCTGAACAAATAGTGCGAAATAATAAGACACGGAAGCGGATC